TTGGTGGGGTTTCAGTTACTCCGATTAGCCTAATTGCCCCAGTGTGTCCATACCTTGACCAAAGGAGCATTCTCCTTAAAAAAAAAATAACTTATTTTTAAAGGCTAGAAAAACAGAAAAAGAAGGGAAAAGCAGTAATGAGTCTTATATTATATATTACAAGGACGATAAATAGTCTTAATCATATGACATCAAAGTTTAATAAGCATATAACATTTACAATGACAATGTCAAATACAAAATGCTGATTTCAAATGTGAAATAATCAAAAATACTTTATCTCCCAATCTCAGTATCTTTAACTTTAATAATCAATCAAATGTGTAGAAATAAAATGGGATTAAATGGACCATTTTATATAAACATATTTCACAAAAAATTGCTACTTTTAAAATTAAATCTTGTCCTAACAATGTCTTGATACTTAAATGATTATTAAGATATCAACTTATCTTATATTCTATAATTGTTATAAACTGTAATCCAAGATTGGTAACAATGGTTCCCAAGAGGAAAAGTACAGTCTTTCTCTGCAATGGGAACCAAAGCAGCTTAGATAATTCTCCTCTCCCCCCTTTGAGAGCCAGTTTGGTGTAGTGGTTAAGTGTGTGGACTCTAATCTGGGAGAACCGGGTTTGATTCCCCACTCCTCCACTTGCACCTGCTGATGTGACCTTGGTTCAGTCACAAGCTCTGGCACAGCTGTTCCTAAAAAGGAGTTTGTGTCAGAGGTCTCTCAGCCCCACCTACCTCACAGGGTGTCTGTTGTGGGGAGGGGGAGGGAAAGGAGTTTGTAAGCCACTCTGAGACTCCAAGTGAAGGGCCGGGGTATAAATCCAATCTCTTCTTCTTCTTCTTGATTTGCACAAGAACCCTGTGAGGTAAGTTAGGCTCCATCGGGAGATCAATTGTAACAGTTGGAGATCTACAGGTCCCACCTGGAGATTGGCAACCCTAGGGGAAAGTCTGCCACACAGCAGGAGGTTGGAGAGAATGGTTTGACAGCCGCTGGCCCACCTCAGTAGCCAGCCAGCCATGGAGGAACCAAGCAGGAGAGAGCCGTTTTCACAGTTTACTCTGACAGTAAAGTGGCCAAGCTGGCAGTGGGTGGGGGAGGGGGTTATGCTGAAAGTCTGTGACTGGTCCAAAACCTGCTCTGAAGCAATAAGTGCTACACCTAGGGTAGCCAACCTCCAGGTGGAGACTAAAGATTTCTGGGTATCACAACGGATATCTGCACTTCGAAATTTGACTCCATGGCTTTCTGACTCTCTTGGACTCTGGCTTTGTGATTACTCTGAACGGTTGGTGATTTGGACTTGGTTATTCAGTTGGTTTGCTTGCCTGGTTTCGACCTCGGACTGTCTGTCTTGTCTGACCCAGCTCTTGTCTGACCCAGAACCCCGACCGTGACACCCAGATATTTAACTGGGTTTGTTGCTAGTTGTCATCCTGTAGCTTTCTTTCTTAATATTTTCCTCTTCTTGCTGTGTTAAAAGTTTGGAAATATTCCGGTTTTATTCCTACAAATTTTAAATCTGTGTAGAAGAAGACGAAGAAGAGGTTGGATTTACATTTAAATCCAGGGAAAAGTTCCAAATCTTATAATGTGTTCTAAAACATATTGAAATGTCTCATGTGGATTATAACGAGTCAAGACGATGTCACCACATAACTTTCCAAGTTAAACTCCTCTCCATCTGTTTTCAGTTCTTTGATTTGGGAGTCTTGTCCTGTTTTAAAAGAAACAATGTCCATCACAAGAATAAACAACTACTAGATCCAAACAGCTGGGTGAAGGCATGTCTTAGGGGAGGGTGTATGTGACCTTGCATCAGCTTTGCCATCCTAACAAAGGGGTTTGTAAAGATCACACTCCTCTTTTCCACCGTGCTTCCGGCTTCCTCCTCTCATTGACAAACTTCACTGGACTTCAATCCCAGGACAAGCCCTGTATGCTTCCCTTCCCTGTTCTCCTTCCTCTTAACATTGCCTTTCTGATTAGTAAGACTTACTTTGGATAGGCTATATTAAAAGTTAGGATTTGTAGAATGTTTGATTGTATTGTGTGTTGTTGTTGTTCAGTCGCACAGTCGAGTCCGACTCTTCGCGACCCCATGGACCAGATCACGCCAGGCCTTCTGGTCTTCCGCCGTCCTCTGAAGTGGGCTCAATTTCATGTTCCTTGCATCGATGACACTGTCTAACCATCTCATCCTTTGCCGTCCCCGTCTTCTTTGACCTTCAATCTTTCCCAGCATCAAGGTCTTCTCCAGTGAGTATTGTGTGTGCACATGTTTAAAACTCTATATTTAATTTTCTAATTATCTTTGCTATTTTTGTTTACCTTTGTCAGACATGGACCTGTTTTGATTGTATTCATTGGATCTGTACCCCATGCCCCCAACCCAGCTCCTGTGCTGTTAACGCTTACTTTCGCTTTTGTAACTTTCCCGCTTTGCACATCTGGCTTTGCTCGTTGCCCTTATCTGTCCTCTCTGACTTTCCTAATGGGGGGGGGGGAGAGAGTGAGACTGTGTGTGAAGGTGTAAGGAGGTGCCACTCATAGTTCTTCCTGCAGCAGCCCCCAGACTGTTCTCAGGTTCTGCCTGAGTCGTGGCCTTGGGAGAGATAAGGCTGTAGACATGGCTAGATGGGTCACATACTCTTTCATGACCTGTAGTAATGTCTGTATGTATGTGAGGTGTACTTGGGAGGTGGGACCCATTCCCTGATTATGGATTGCTTGCTTTTGGTTGCCAGTCCTGACAAAGACGTTCGCCTTTACAGAAGTCCAAAACTTACCAATAAACCTTAACTAAGGAATATTGCATGAAGAGTGGTTTCTCTGGAAGCCTGACATTCTTATTAAATCCTAAACCTGAAACCAATGTTTGTTTCAGGGGTCATTTCCTGCAGGAGCACATAGGAGCGGAGCTCCGGCAATAAAGAGCCCAGGGGGCGGGCACATGCAACAAGCCCCACCCCCTGCTCCCAACAGCCCTCAGTCAGAGCAAGAAGCAGCCAGGTAAGTTGCAAAGCTCCTCCCGGCCCTCTGGCCCAAAAGAGTCCAGTGGCACCTTTAAGACCAAAGTTTTATTCAGGTACAAGCTCTCCCTCCTCTGCGAGGACAGATCTGCACGTTCCCCCCCCCCAATAGCTAGCAATCCAAAACTGTCCAGTGAAGCCTGAGCGGTGGGTGTTGCCTTCTGACACACTTCTGGTGATATCAGGGGGTGCTGCATATGCAAATAGGTTATGCTAATGAGTTACGCTAATTAGCTCCTGCACCTCTTTTTCTACGAAATGACCCCTGGTTTGTTTCTTCCAGCAACCTGCACAACTTAATGATGCATTAGATAAAATCTTGGACCTCCAAATATCTCAGGCAAGAGGGTCCCAATAACATTTGTCCGAAGCTCAGGATTGTATGGGCATCAGATCCCTCAAAAGGAGGATGCTCGTTCGCTCAAGGTATGGACCCACCAGGGCCATTGCGATAAGGAGAACCCCACCAAAGGACGTTGACCCAGGACGAGGGTGAATACTGAGGCAGCCAGAGGTGACGGGGCAGAAAGAATTGGACATAATTTGGGGACTGAAGAGGGCGACAGATCCCAGTGGCAGCCAAGAAATAATATTGGAATCTTAAAATTTGCACGTAACAGGCAAAGCCGGTGATTTGCTTCCACTGCGGTCAGCCCAGAGATGCCGCAGGTTCATTCCTGTTTTGACTCAAGTTAACTCGGATAGGGCTTCTGACCAAGTCATTTAATATTGAATGGTGAGGGATGACTACAGGGCAAAATATGCTCACACTATAATATGAAGTCAAACACCTTTTAAAAATGCCACGAGGAGCTCTGAAATATTTTACAAACTAAACACTCCGAAATGAGTCATACATTCTGTGCTCCCCAGAGACGGTATAAAAGCTCTTGACACCTGCAACCTTCTCCACAGCTCTGCTCAGACCTCTTGCTTGCTTCTCTGCTTCTTCTGCTCTTGGTAAGTCCATTATAACTTCTTCTCATTCTTTCAGGTGCAGAGCGATGTTGGGCTGAAGCAACAGAAGAAAGTTTGAGTCCGGTGGCACCTTGAAGACCAGCAAGTTTAAGTCAAGGTATAAGCTTCCGTGTGAAGGCACACTTCTTCAGAAAGAAGAAGAAGAAGAAGATGACTTAACTGATGTGCTCGAACACAAAAACTTATACCATGAAATAAACTTTGTTGATCTTCAAAGTGCCACTGGACTCAAACTATTTTCTTCTCATTGTACATGATATGTATGGTAGGAAAGTCAGACAGAAAGCCAGGAAGCAAGTTGCAAATGTGATTAGTGGAGATTCTCACCCATGAATGTTCACATCTAAAGGAAGGAAGGAAAGGAGTAGAAGGCACCTGGAGAGAATCTCAGGCACAGGGATAAAAGGAGGAAATGCACATGGGTCTCTGGGAAATAGACAGTTCTAGAAATGAATTGACGAAATTTCTAAGCCAGGAAGCAAGTTGCAAATGTGATTAGTGGAGATTCTCACCCATGAATGTTCACATCTAAAGGAAGGAAGGAAAGGAGTAGAAGGCACCTGGAGAGAATCTCAGGCACAGGGATAAAAGGAGGAAATGCAATGGGTCTCTGGGAAATAGACAGTTGTAGAAATGAATTGAGGAAATTTCTATGCTGCCTCTCCAGAGTCTAAGACAACCACATGGATGAGATGAATGGTGGAAGTCCCATACCTTCAATTTTCAGCTCATATTAGGGATGCCAACCTCCAGGTGTGTCCTGGCAATCTCCTAGAATTGCAACTGATCTCTGGACCAGTAGAGATCATCACTCCTGGATTAAATGGGTCATTTGGAGAGCGAAGTCTACTGTACTGTATTACCTGGGGAAGCGGTTATACTTGTGACATTGATCAGTTTGTCCTTCAGCCTCTCTCATTGATCTGTACCATCCTTTCCTAATGTAATTCCAGACTCACTGCCACCTTTCCAAGATGTCTTGCTGCTGTCCACCATCCTGTGCCACCCCATCTTGCCCCAAGCCTTGCTGCCCCAAGCCTTGTTGCCCCCCATGCTGCCCCCCATGTGGCTACCCAACAGGCGGTCTGGGTTCACTGAGTTGCTGCCCCAGTCCATGCTGCCCCCCTTCGTGCTGCGGTAGCTCGACACCGGCACGTTGCCTTGGCATCACCAGTGGGGCCAGCGTCTCCTGCATCAACCAGATCCCACCATCCGAAGTCACCATACAGCCACCTCCTTGTACCGTTGTGGTCCCAGGGCCAGTGCTGGCTGCTTCCTGTGAGCCTCTCCGTGTGGGAGGCTACACAGCCTGTGGCGGCTGCCCCCCCTGTGGTTGCATCTGTTAAGCTGGAAAGGGGAGCTTCACACGAACGGGAATGAAACGGCTACCTGAAAAGTATGGAACGGATTGATGGCTGATGATTTCACGGACTTGGGTGTCCGAAAGAATGGCACTTCATCGTTCGGACTAGGATCGGTGCTTAACAAGTTTTCAAAAGCCCATGACCACAAACATGTGATAGTTCCTTTGTATTCTCTCCGCTCTCACCTTGAAACTTTTTTGTCCTCTATGTTTCCCTTCATTTTCCTAAACCTATGTTGATTTCAAGTCAGGAAGTGTATGAACATCTTCCCTCTGTGGTCTCCAAACATTTGAGTGGGCCACAAAAGTCTTCCTGCCTCAACGATAACTTTGTTTATCTTTGTATTCATTTGCTCTGTGGCCTTTCAGTTATCCCACACAAACGGGCAGTGGGAAAGCCACTGTTTGCTGAGTAAAGAAGGTGTGTTTGTCACCCCTGAAACTGCTTCACTGCAAATGATGTCATCTCCTCTCCTTGTCTGCAATAAAACTTCTGCCTGCATCAAAATTTATCTTGTGGATTCAGTTGCTTCTTATTTCTAAAGTGGTGAGGGGTCATCACACAGTGGTAGTGTACATAGAAATAGACCCAGATTCATTATTGGGCTTCTCAATCACATGTAGCAGCTGCATGATGTGCAGATGCCATTTAGAACCGTCCACGTAGAGTTCAGTGAGCTCTTGGCGGGGAAGGCTGGGTCCAGGCACCAGCTCGTTTCTGGACAAGCAGTATGCCAGTTAGCATTGTAAAGTTCAAGAGGAAATATGTGATGATGGTGACTGAAAAGTACTCGGAAACGTGGAGTGATTCAGCAAAGAGTACTTTATTAGTGAAGAACAAGACAAGAAACCCCGGCACGCAGGCCGGTATATATGCTCAGAAACCCACCACCAAAACACACACCCTAGTGACCCTATAGGTTATTTACAGTGGCCGAGAGTCCCATTGGCTCTCGGCCGCGGACCTGGCCCTCTGGTTGGTGCGGGCTAGGATCCGCTCCGCTATTGTTCTGCAGGCGCGAAGCTCTGGGCTTGTGCTTGACCGCATGGCCCAACGGTCGCGCACGTGGTAATGGCGGATACATTACAGTGACAAAGTGGGAACAGGCCTTCCATTTAAAAGAGAGGGTTGAGGCCCTCCGAACCATTGAAATGGGGAGCAGAATTGTGCAGGGTATGGAGACTCTTCCTCTTGACGTTCTGGATGGGAGGACCACACGAGTCCATTTGGTGTCCGAGCAGAACTAGCTCAGACCTTTAAATATAGGAAATACGAAAGAAGCGTGAAGAATCCTAACACTCGATGGAATTTGCCTTATGGTCCATACATAGCTTTGACATTCCACAATTTTGAATCTGAAAGCATTATTAGTTGGATTGCAACCCTTCAAGGACACTATAGTGATGAGCTTAGCCAATTACAATTTCTTGCAGTCAGTTAGAAGAAGAAGAAGAGATTGGATTTATACCCAGCCCTTCACTACCCAAGGGAGTCTCAGAGTGGCTCACAAACTCCTTTCCCTTCCCCTCCCCACAACAGACACCCTGTGAGGTAGGTGGGGCTGAGAGAGCTCTGACAGAAACTGCTCTTTTCCAGGAACAGCTTTGCCAGAACTATGGCTTGCCCAAGGTCATCCAGCAGGTGCAAGTGGAGGAGTGGGGAATCAAACATCATGGCACTGCCTCATTTTTGGCAATAGAGGAAGAAGAAAATGGGATTTAAATGAAATACTGACAAATTCCAAAATCTGCCCCATTTTATTTATATTGCCCAGATTTTGAAGCATAAAACCAGCAGGAAATGGCTGTCTCTTCTGACAAAGACACTTCAACTGCTTGGCTTCTCCATGGCTGGCTGGCTGGCTACTGACATGGGCCAGTGGCCACCAAACCATTATCTTCTCCTGCTGTGTGGCTCACTTTCTCCTCAGTGGCTGTTGCTAGGCAACCAAGCATGGATCTGTCAGTAAAAAGGTGGGGGGGAGTCCTTTTCCAGGCCTACTTTGGTCTTTATAGGGAACTCATTGGGGCCAGTCCTGACTAGGGTTGCCAGCTCCAGGTTGGGAAACTCTTGGAGATTTTGTGGTGGAGTCAATGGAAGCCAGGGTTTGGGGAAGCTAAATAGAATGCTATAGACTCCACCCTCCAAAGCAGTTATTTTCTCCAAGGGGACAGAGAGATCTGCTGTCTGGAGTTCAGTTGTGATACGAGGTGATACCACAGCCGGTGTGGCATAGCAGTTAGCGCTTCAGAGAAAGGTCAACCAAACCCAGGTTCTTGCTGTGGAAGCTGAGTGGGTGATTTTGTACTGGTCAGAGACTTTCAGTCTAACCTACCTCACAGGGTTGTTGTGCAGATCAAAAGGGGGAGAGGAGAATAATGTAAGCTGCTTTGGTCCCCACTGCAGAGAAAGGCTGTACTTTTCCTTTTGGGGAAACAGTGTTTCCAATCTCCATGTGAAAACTGGAGATCACTCAGGATTACAACTTCTCTCCATATGGCAGAGATCAATTCTCCTGGAGAAAATGATGGACTCTGTGTCATTATACCCTGCTGAAGTGGCCACCCTATAACAGCCAGTGTGACGTAGCAGTTAGCACTTCAGAGCAGGGCCTGCCAGACCCAGGTTCTTCCTGTGGAAGCTGAGTGGATGATTTCAGACCAGTCACAGACTTTCAGCCGAACTTACCTCACAGAGTTTTTCTGCAGATCGAAAGGGGGAGAGGAGAATGATGTGAGCTGCTTTGGTCCCCACTGCAGAGAAAGACTGTACTCTTCCATTGACTGTTGTTTCCTAATCCTAAATCCTTATGGCTTCCTTTCTCTTCCACCTCTACATAAATGACACCAATCACCAACTCTCTAGTGAAGTTTTCCATCCACCTCACCTGTCCCAAAGACCTTTATCAAATCTGTTTTATGCCGATGATGCCGTGTTGATATCTCAGTCTTCTGTTGGCTTACGATGCTTACTGAATGCTTTTGTACCTTGTTGCTCCAGTGGTCCTTAGATATAAACTATCATAGACCAAAGTTGTAGATTTTGTAAAGGTGCTCCATTTAGCCATTTATCTTGGTCTAGGAATGGACATTCAATTGATCAGGTGGACACTTTCCAGTCATCTTTTTCCAGGACCTTCTGACTGAACCATTTTTCTAGCTTGGCTTGGGCTCTGCTTAAACACAATTAACAACAGCAAAACCTAAATGGATCGGGAGGCACTGAAAATGGGGAGCATAAAGTCGGAGCTTAAAGGTTTGCACTTGTTATACTAAAACCAAGGGTTCTTAGCCCTGCACAACAACTCCTAATACTGGTGTTGGGGATCTTTCTAGTTAACTGCTAGGGGTGCCCCAATGTTCTAAAACCAGGATGGAGGCCTCACGGGAATGCTACTAAGATTTCCAATAGAAGAAGGACTGAGCAGGAGAGGAGAACCAAACACCTAGCCAGGGAACCCTCCTACCCACTGCACTGCCATTCCAACCTGTAGGCTCAAAATGGAGTAAACTACAAGCAGATTTCTCTGCCTGTGAACTCAATGTTTAGCTTAGGTACCAAGAGAACCAAACTCCTCTTAGAGGAGAACCCTGTTGCCACTAACTCTTCGCCAGTGAGGAGAATCAAACTCCTTATGGGAGAATCTTCCCGCTGTCGATGGCTTGGGCATGGAGAACCAAACTCTTTTTAGAGGAGAACCCTCCTACTCCACTACCCCGTGTTAACTGTTTTCCACCAATGGGAGTGACTCATGGGGACTCTATATAGACAACTTCTTTGTCTCTTTTCAAAAGAAAAGGCACAGTGGCTTGCCTTCTACCAGAACTTCATAGGAGTTCCTACAGGAAGAGTTTTATCCCCACTGTGAGGATGCTGGACTTCTCTTACAGGACCTCCCATCCCACCCCGGATTGGGGGGGGATATAGACTACAAGGGATTGTTATATATGTCTTTTATGTGTGGGGGGGTATGGTGTTCCTTAGCTGAAGACCCTGGCCTTGAATCCCAACCTAAATATCCTACCAAGAATAAAAACAAGAACTCTCCTAGAAAAAATAGGACTTCTCCACGTCACCCCCTTTATTTCAACTGAGCTGAGTCTGTCTGCACAGAGCCATTGCCCAATTGGTGCAGCTAAGGAAGGTGGTTGAAGAAGATGAAAAGAGGAGCAGACCACCCACAAAGGTTTTCTGCTCTCTAGAGCCAATCACACAAGAACTTCACTCATACTCTCAAATGGGTGCTTCCACTGAAACCATTCCTCTATGTCTGCACTACTGAAGACACGTGTGTGCAAACACACATTCAGACATGCAGGGTGTGCACACATGTCTGCACCATTAGACTGTTAACAACAATGGCCTGCCTTGAAGTTTGGGGAAAGTAGTTATGCAGCAGGGGAGGCTAGACGAGTACCATGGATCACACACCTGTTTATACCAACGTCCGGTCCAGTAGGAAGACTCCAGATTTAAAAAGAAAATTAAATAGTTTTTATTGACTAATTTCCCTAATTGCGAGAACACAAAGCATTCAAGAAAAGAGCAAACAATTCAGAGCTAAGAAAAAAGATATGATTGATAGAGGATAGAAGGGTCAGTTATAGGGGTTATACTATCTGTCCAGATGTGCAGAGGTCCATTGAGAAAAGATTATGACCAAAACAGAGTTTGGGGGTGAACTGCCAGTGGGCATCTGGGCAGACACAGTCGAGGCCATGTGCTTTGGTGAATATAGACATGGGAAAACAATGCAGACCAATGGGACGCCTTCAGAGGCTTGTCTCAGGTGAAAAAAGAATCACTGGTCCAATAAGGGGCCCATAGGGGTGTGACACCAGGAGAAGTAAAACCTAGGGGTGACCAATAAGGTTACAGAGGGGCAGAGACTGAATTCACAATACTGTTGATGAGATTAAACAGGTGCTGGCTGGCTCTACTGGAGCTGGCTGAATGGGTTCGATGAACATTGATGGTCCTGCCAAGGCAGGTTGAATAGGTACCCAGGTTTACACAAAAGGTGGGAAATGATTCCCTGATTAGCATC